TGGCAAACCATTAGCTACACAGAGAAAAACAGAGAGAAGACTCAAAATCAGAAATGAAAGTGGAGACATTACAATTGATACCACAGAAATACACAGAATCATAGACTACTATAAGTAATTATACACCAAGAAATTATATAACTTTAAAGAAATTAATATATTCGTAGAAACACACAACCTGCAGAGACTGAATCAGGAAAAAGCAGGAAATCTGAACAGACCCATAATGAGTAAAAAGATCGAATCAGTAATTAAAAAAAACACCCCCAAAACAAAAAACAAAATTCTCAATACAGACCAGATGGTTTCACTGGTGAATTCTACCAAATATTTAGAGAAGAATTAATGCCAACCCTCCTCAAAGTCTTCCAAAATACTGAGGAGCACAGAATACTTCAAAACTCACTCTATGAAGCCAGCATTACCTTGATACCAAAACCAGATAAGGATACCACAAGAGGGATCCCTGGGTGGCGCAGCGGTTTGGCGCCTGCCTTTGGCCCAGGGCGCGATCCTGGAGACCCGGGATCGAATCCCACGTCGGGCTCCCGGTGCATGGAGCCTGCTTCTCCCTCTGCCTGTGTCTCTGCCTCTCTCTCTCTCACTGTGTGACTATCATAAATAAATAAAAATTAAAAAAAAAAAGGATACCACAAGAAAACCACAGACCAATATCCCGGATGAATACAGACGCAAAAATTCTCAGCAAAAATCAACAAACAGGACTACATCAAACTCAAACGCTTTTTTGCAAAGCAAAAGAAACAATCAACAAAATGAAAAGGCAACCTACAGAATGGGAGACAATTTTTGCAAATTATCAGACAAGGGATTAATATCCAAAGTAGATAAAGAACTCACACAACTTGGTAACAACAACAACAAAACAAAAACAACCCGATTTACCCCAAAACATGGGCAAAAGTAGACATTTTTCCAAAGAAGACATCCAGATGGTCAACATATACATGAAAAGATGCTCAACACTCATCATCAGGAAAAGGAAAATCAAAACCACAATGAGATGTCATCTCATACTGTCAGAATGACTGTCGTCAAAAATACAAGAGATGACAATGCTGGCAAGGATGTGGTGAAAAAAAAAAATAAAACCAAAAAACAAACACTTGTTTGCTGTAATGGGAATGTAAATTGGTCCAAACACTATGGAAAACAATATGGAGAGTCCTCAAAAAATTAAAGATAGAACTATAAAATGATCTAGCAATTCCACTTCTGGGAATATACTCAAATGAAATAGAAACAGGATTTCAATGAGATCTCTGCACACCCGTGCTTATTGAAGCATTATTCATGACAGCCAAGATATTTCCAACCCAAATACCCATCAACTGATGAATGGATAAAAAGATGTAGTACAGAGGAGCCTGGCTGGCTGTCCCTGGACATGTGACTCTTGATCTCCAGATTGTGGGTTCAACCCCCTTGTTGGGTGAAGAGATTACTTGAAAATAAAATCTTAAAAAAAAAAAAGGAATACATATACACAACTAATGTTAAAAAAAGATACCCTGCCATTTACAACAGCATGGATGGACCCTGGGCACGTTATACTAAGTGAGATAAGTCAAATGTAAAGACAGGTAATGTATGGTATCACTTATATGTGAAATCTAAAAATGTCAAATCTGTAAAACAGAGAGTAGGTGGTGATTAGCAGAGGATGCAGGGATTAGACTAAGATTTTTCAGGGTACAAACCTGTAAGGAGTAGTAAATAAACCACAGAGATCCAATGCACAGCATAATGAATATAGACAATATCATAAGTATACAACGTGACAAATGTCGCTGCGACAATCATGGCACAACATATCAATGTATCAAACTAACAGCCGTGCACCCTAATTTTGCACAATGTTACATGTCAAACGTATTCAGTAAGAATACAAAAATGTCTGGCATGCCCTATTTTAAGACTTCAAAGTATTAAGTTGGTTACACTAATGGAAAGCCCTGGAGAGAAAAAGACCCCCTTGCATATTTAGGGCACTCTTTGAGATGCCACACCCACAGCGCCTGAAATCCAGGAACCCTCCTTCCTCTGCTACGAGGCGGCGGCGGTGGGGTGGGGTGCTAGCGCAGGAGGGCCCCGCGGAGGACCCCGGGTGTAGGGGCGCACCGCAGGGCGCGGGGAGCGCTCTTTAGGGCCGGCTCGGGAGCGTCCACCTGGCGACGCCAAGGAGCTCGCGGCCCGTACTCACCTGCTGGGAACACCGCTCGTCCTCCCGGGGCGCGGCCCGCAACCCGCTCCACGGCACCGGAACGCCGGCGGGACGGCCGCGGTCAGGCCTCTCCTGGCGCAGGTGGAGCGCACCGAAGCTTCCCCAAGGCGCACGCGGCGCGCACGCTGGGGCTGCGCGCGGAGGGGCACCGGGGCCAGCCCCCACCCCTGCGGTCCTGCGGAGGGAGGGCGGGCGCGCGCGCGCGCGCGGAGGGCGGTGCGCGGGTTGGGCCGCAGGTGCCTCTCCCGGTCGCGTCCCCTGCCCAGACTCAGCAACAGTACCAGCGCCTTCAGGGGAATGTCGAACTGCCCCTCACCGACCCCGCCCTGTGAGAGGCCCCAGTACTTAGTCCAGCTGGAGGTCTGCTCAGTGGGAAAAACCTGCGCCCCCTACTCTCCACCCCCGCGAACAGAGCCAGGCCCGCGCGGGCCGCTGGAACTTGTACTCCCCAGGGCGGGGCCGACGCATCAGTCACCCCCTCTGGGAATCAGTAGGGTTGGGGATCACTCTGTTTCACAGCGTTGGAGAGCAGTGCTTCATTTGCATCCGATCTGGGTGCATGTGTCTTACTGAGTGCATGCGGTATGCTGAACACCTTGCTGGGACTGGTGGCGAGTAGGTGAGCTCAACCACTGTATTTTTTTTTATATTTTATTTATTTATTCATGAGAGACACTCAGAGACAGAGAGAGAGGCAGAGGCATAAGCAGAGGGAGAAGCAGGCTCCATGCAGGGAGCCCGACATTCGCCCACTTTAGCTTAAGCAGAAGGATGACCTTGCAAGGAAGAACGTAAGGAACAAAACCCACAAATTGGAAGTGCCGTTGGAGGTCACACAAGGGCAGAGAAGGCAGGGGAGGGGGAGGACTTTCCAGAGGATGTGGGATTCCAATCACGTTTTGAAAAATTGAATGTTCTGGATGAGGCAGAGGTGGCAGGGAGTATAAAGGAGTGTGGTCTGGCTGTAGTGAAAGGTTTATGTCAGAGAGCAGGGAGCAAACCAGGTGGGGAAGTGGTCACCAGTGCCTTTGGGCCTCACTTTCAGAAGTGTCCTCTGCTTCGAATTTCCCTCCACAGCAGGGAGATGCATCTTCAGGCTTCAATAAAAGGAAACATCTCACGGCTGGTTTGCAATTTCTGGACCTCATGGCCTGTTGCTCTAAGAATGGATACACTTTGGGGGCGCCTGGGTGGCTCAGTGACTTAAGCATCTGCCTTCAGCTCAGATCATGATCCCAGGGTCCTGAGATTAAGCCCCACATCTGGCTCCCTGCTCAGCAGGGAGTCTGTTTCTCCCTCCTTCCACCCCATTCGTGCTCTCTCTCTCACTTTCTCTCTCAAATACATAAATAAAATCTTTTTATTTTTTTAATATTTTTTTTCTTTATTTATTTATGATAGTCACAGAGAGAGAGAGAGAGAGAGAGAGAGAGAGAGAAAGAGAGGCAGAGACACAGGCAGAGGGAGAGGCAGGCTCCATCCACCGGGAGCCTGATGTGGGATTCGATTCCGGGTCTCCAGGATCGTGCCCTGGGCCAAAGGCAGGCGCCAAACCGCTGCGCCACCCAGGGATCCCTAAATAAAATCTTTTTAAAAATCGATACACTTTGGTATAAATCTTATCATTAGTGAGTACCAAAATTAGACTGAGATATGTGTGTGCTAGATATAAACTTTCAAAATGATACTATTTTTGTAAATTATTTTGGCATTTATTCAATTTCTGTATACCAGAAGTCTCAAGGGAAGAGGACCCAAATCTTTCTTGACCTAAAGGGAGTATGTTGATGCTTTGGGGTTTGGTCTCGAGAGCAACAGATGATTTATGAGAATGGTTTTGATGGCTTTCAATGACTTAGACATAAACCCACAGTTCAGAAAGTTCTTTTCCAGGACATTTGTTCTTAGCTTTTGATTTCAGAAACTAAGATCACAGTTAAGCAAAAGATAGTTATTTTCAAGTTTATCAGGTCATGGAACACCTAGAAGTCATGCTGTATTACTTTTACTAAAACACTGTGGAATGCTATATCACACTTAACTATTGTGAAATTTAAATTCCACCTTTTCCATATCCTAGTACCAGTAAAAAGGAACCTGGTGCCATATGCTTTATTAATTTTGAATTTGACACAGAAAAAAAATTTTACAACCAAGTGATTCTATCTTATTTATGTCATCCTGAGGACCAAGAAGCCATTAATATGGAGCACAGTTCCCGGTCACTCTCTCCCAGATGATACTCTCAGAAGATGCAAGGACCACTTTGCGACTTAGGTAATGTCAGGAAATAAGTGAGATCACATCTCATCTGCAAGCTTCCCAAACCCCCTCCTTGGTGTGCCTTCTGTCCCAGGGAGGAGGAGAACCAGAAGATCTCATAAGCTGTTAACTTGATCAAGGACTCATCATTCCACCTGGACAGCTGTGGAGCCTATGCATGGAAGGACAACCCTGAGATCAGAAAAAGGTAAAAGAGAAGGAATATTTCTCCTGGCCTCCCAACACAGGTTCTCCGCTGGGGAACATCACCCCACTCCCATCCTCCACATCTAGGGGTGTTGGAAAAAGTACAGTAGTCCTTGCTTGTTATCTTCTCCTGCACTAATTGGGGTTTCTTCATGGGAAAGAGAAAGCCTGCTAAATGTTCCCACAATGAACAGGACAGTCCCATATGGTGAAGAAATATCCCACCAAAAATGCCATTTGTATCCATGTTGAGAAACACAAGAAGTCCCCCCAGTAGAGTTTCGTGTTTCGAGAACTCCGTGCCACTATACCACCCATGAACAAGAGAAGCACTCAGCTGTTCTACACGGATCCACGTGGAGGCTCCTTCCGGCTGCACCAGGCTTCCACCAGGAAAGCCCCCATAATCACCACAATTATGGCAGCCAGACCCAGGCGGATGAGGTTGTCCGTGGTGTAATCCCCCGACGACCTGGTGTAATCCCCCGACGTGGTGTAATCCCCCGACGTGGTGTAATCCCCCGATGTGGCACCTGGAGGAGCTGGAAGAGAGAAGAGGATGAGCACCAGCCAGGAGAGGAGCATCCTTCCTTCTCAAGTGGATCTGCCCAGTGTGACTCTCTGCACCTGCTTGTATTTCGTGGCCAGTGGTCAGCTGTACCTTCCCTGACATCGGGATCACTGAAAACACAACGTGGGGTTTCAGCAGAGTTGTAGTGGGGTCTTCCTTTGCCTTCTTCCCTCTGTGTTCTCTCTGCTTTACCTCTCTTCTTGTGTTTCTTTGCTCTTCATCTCATTTCCACCCTCCCACACTGCCTTTTCCCCTTCTCCCTCCTTGTGGTAGGAATCAGGCTTAGGAGGAACCCCCACAACCCAAGTTGCTGCACAGAGCGCTGAAGTACCTCAGTGGCTGCGTCTGCTCCCCTCCTCCTGCCAAGACTTACTGCAGCCAGGGAGCTCAAGGAGACTCAGCTTAGAGGCTGAGCATCAGGACCACCATGCATTTCATTTCAGCTTCACCCAAGAAGAGCCAGGGCTCGGCATTGGCCCTGGTTCCTAGAGAGGACCCGCATTTGCATTTGCATCTTGCAACCCACACGTGCCATGAGTGCAGAGCTCCTGTCCGAGACCATCAGCAGCAATGTTCCCTGGAGGCAGAGTCTGTGGGGAGACCCCCGTGATGCCCTCTGCACCTCTCAGGGCTGCCCACCCAGACCTTGCTTGTTAACTACAGGATGTTTGCAGACCATGGCACACACACAAACACTTAAAACACCCAGGAAGCATGGCATGGCCTCCAACGAAGTAACGTTCTGCCAAACACAGAAGATCAGTTTATTATTATTTTTTTATTCATTTATGATAGTCACAGAGAGAGAGAGAGAGAGAGAGAGAGAGGCAGAGACTCAGGCAGAAGGAGAAGCAGGCTCCATGCACCGGGAGCCCGATGTGGGATTCGATCCCGGGTCTCCAGGATCGCACCCTGGGCCAAAAGGCAGGCGCCAAACCGCTGCGCCACCCAGGGAGCCCAGAAGATCAGTTTAGAAGACACCACATCTGTGCCACAAAAGCAGGCGAGTGGGGAAGCACCACGTTCTAAGAATGAGAAGGGTACTGCCATGATGTGGCCATCACCGGGATGACACACAGGTGGCAGAAGGGGCCCTGGTGGTGGCGGGATGGATCATTTGGAGGAACGACTTGAGATGTTATCCAAGAAGGCAAAACAACAAAGGCTGAAGACTAGAAAGTAGGAAAGGAGAGACTTAAAAAGGAAATGACGGTGAAAACAAAGGAGAAACAGAAATTGGAAAATAACAGAAGAAATGCTCTCCAGTTAACAAATATATATATGTTGCACACCTGAAACGGATACAATGTGATGAGTCAATATAGGTCAACAGAACCAGAGAAAACAAATAAAATAGCCAAAATAAAAAGAAACTAATCAATTAATTAAAACTTTAAAATGTCCTAAGAATCATGCAAAACCTACCTCTCACCTGTATCTCCAGACAATTGCTAGGCTGTGAGGTCAAGAAAGGGGCCCCTATCTGGAAGTACACGCAGCTGTAGTTCCCGGCATCACTGACTGTCACACTCCTGAGGGAGAAGTCTGTCTCCTTCCCTGCTGGATCCTGGACCTGTATGGGCTCCGCTGCTCCCGCCTTCAGCAGAGCGAACTTTATAGGCATGAAAATATTGTCTGGCCTCTGACACTGCAGGGTCACGGTTTCTCCTGCGGTCACCACACCTCTTTGGTGGGCTTGGAGGGAAGGTTTAGGGAACTCTCCTGGAAGAGAAGAGGGCTCCAAGGTTACGGGGAGAAGCCTGAGATCCCCCACCCACCCTGTTCTCCTGGCAGGGGTCCCACCAAGCAGGAGAGATGACAGATCCCTGGTCTCACCCTCTTCTGACTCTGACTACAAGCCCTGGGTGAAGCCCAGCCAAGTCGTTCTGCTGCTGTGTTTCTCCGTCTCCCCTTGCCGCCCCCCCGCCCCCCCCCCCGCCTCCCTGGGGTTCCTCCCCCACACCTGTCCCTGTTACTCCGAAGCACCCTCCTCACCTGTCACCAGCAGGAGGAGGATGTCACTGGGCTGTGAACTTATTTGTGGGAGCTCTCGTCTATAGTATTCACAGGTGTACGGTCCAGCGTTACGGGTTTTTAGGTCATTGAGGTGAAATTCAGCCACGCCCTCTGTGGAAGCCAGTGATTGCAAGGACTCTAAGATATTTCTTCCCTTTCTGAGAACAAAGTTGACGTTCTTGGTGGAAGTCTGGCATTGCAGTGTCACATTGCTCTTGGGAGGCATTATCCAGCTGGGCCAGGCACTGAGGGAGGGCTTGGGAAGGGTCTCTGGAAGGAAGCAGATTTGGGGATGGGATTTGGTGCCCTGAGCTGCTCTCAAGTCCCTTTAAGGAAAGAGAAGGGACATGGGGAGTTTGGAGTGAAGGAGAGAGAGGGTCTAACTGAAGGAACTCACCATCAGTCATCCAGCTACTTTGGCCAACACACAGCCCTGTGAGAGAACCGTCCATGAGACACGAGCACCCGGCTGGAGGCCCGTCCCGAGGGGTCTCCTGGGCGGGGGCTGCTGCTGAGAACGGACCCTGGAGATCATGCACCTGGGTTCTCACTTCCCCTCACTGGACTGTGGCTGCAGCTGTGCTCTCAGCTCCTGCCCCATTTCTCCAGGAAGGTCTCCTGTGTGGCTCTCACCTCACGTGGCCCCAGGACTGGTCCTGGTTCCACAGATGTTCCACAAACCCTGTAATTCTTTTTTTTTTAATTTCTATTTTTTTATTTTTTATTTTTTAAATTTTTATTTATGATAGTCACAGAGAGAGAGAGAGAGAGAGAGAGGCAGAGACACAGGCAGAGGGAGAAGCAGGCTCCATGCACTGGGAGCCCGACGTGGGATTCGATCCCGGGTCTCCAGGATTGCGCCCTGGGCCAAAGGCAGGCAGGCGCTAAGCCGCTGCGCCACCCAGGGATCCCAAACCCTGTAATTCTTAAGAGAGCTTATGTAGTCACCCTATGGGAGACACAAGGTGTTACTGTCCTATCAACACCCGGGGGGGGGGGCGGGTAGCTACTCTGTACTGTTCACCTTAGTATCTGCAGTGTCTACACAATCCTGGAACCTAGTTAAGAATAAACAAATGCACATTGGCACATTGGCCAACTGAAGAGATGCCCCAATTTAAGCGTGGCTCAGATATTTCAAGGATGATAGAAAAATTCAAAGTCATAGTAACATATTTTCCTCATTTCACCAGATAGACCAGCCCAAAGGCAATGAAAGCCCATGGATTACCCTAGAATCTAGGGATCAGAGACTATTGTGAAGACCAATCACATCACTGGGACCCAATCAAGCTAAGACCCATACTGTCCCTATTTGTGGAAATCAGGCTTTCTTAGCACCAGCAAATGGCTGTCCTGAGATGCCCCCAGCTCTATGTCCCTGGACACTCCAAAGCACTCTTCTTTCATCTCCTTCATCTCTTTGAATTCAGGCCTCAATGATCCCAACCTGGCATTTGCTCACACACCTCAAGAACTTTACCATTATGAAGATTCCACGCCTCACTCTTCATATTCCATATGACCAAGTGAAAGCATTTGTGACTTTGGAGCCAGACAGGCCTGGGTTTGAATATTGAGGTTTCTGCTCACTCACTGTATGGCCCTGAGCAAGATCCCTGAACTGTCAGTCCCTGAGTGTGTCTCCATCATGCAGTACTGTTAGCAAGGGTCAGAGCAGTATTTCTCACATAATGGGATACAAACCGCGGGGCTCTACAGATGGTTTTTGCTGTGACATAGTATTCGATAGCATTGATCAGAACATCAGAAAGGCATTACCCTTTCAAATCACTTCTACTCCTTTAATCACAACAAAGAATTTCTTGAGCTAAAGATCAGCCTCCTTATACAACTGTCTCTGGCCAACTGCCCTTTGTAATAAGGAAGTAGCTGGTGCTCCTGAGTGGTTGTCGGTTGAACATCTGCCTTTGGCTCAGGTCATGATCCCAGGGTCCTGGGATTGAGCCCCACATTGGGCTCCCTGCTCAGCAGGGAGTCTCTTTCTCCCTGCTTATTCTTTCTCTCTCTCTCTCAAGTAAATAGACAAAATGTTTAAAAAATAAATAAATAAAAATAAGGAAGTAGCTGGTCATGGGCTCAGAAATGTGATGGCCAACATCCCAGATACAACGTCCTAATGTCTTCCTTTACATTGTGTATGTATTTATGATGATCTTCTATTTTTGGTAAGTGACCCTGGCTTTTCTTTTAAATTTTTGCTTTTTACTTAAGCTTTTGACATAAAGTTTCCATCTTCAAATGAATGTGCTTGTTTAAAATAAAGATATCGGAGCGCCTGGGTGGCTCAGTTAGTTGTCTGCCTTTGGCTCAGGTCATGATCCGGGGGTCCTGGGATCAAATGACACATTCTCTCTCTCCACCCTCCACTTATGCTCTCTCTCACTATTTCTCTTCCTCTCTCTCTCTCTCTCTCTCGCTCTCTCTCAAGTGAATAAAAAAATATTTTAAAATACATTAATAAAAATAAAACAAAGATATTGAAAAAATAAATAAAGATAAAATAAGGCTATTGAGTCAGTAAAATTTCAAATAAGTAGGGATGATATAAGCATACAGGACAGATCATGAGCATAGAATGTAAGTGTTTGCATACTGGAAAACATTTGATGGGTAAGATGTATTCAAAGCCTCCCAAGGTTCCAGACACACATGAAGCAGATCAATAAAGACAAGCAGATATTATTACTTCTCTTTCCAATTCTAGTGGTCAGTCTTTCTCCACCCACCTTCACCTCTAAACCCACTATATGAGCCTAAGAAACTTACCAAAGCAGAGGAGGCAAAGGAATTCAAGGATCATATTGGTCCTGCAGCCTGCTTTATGGGCCCCTCTTTGGTTTCATCCACAACAGGGAGGGAAGCTGGATGTGGGCGGTGGCATCTTTGGCCAACCCTTCCCTTCCTTCCTCTCATGTAACCCACAGGTTTTTGTGTTCCAACCACATTCAGGAAACAAGAAAGAATAGAATGCTCCACCAGGTCTTAATTAAAACACTGCAAACAGAGTGAATTCAGGGCTCAAACTCTAACCCACCTAGAAGAGCCAGACATGCTAGAAATGACTCCACTGAGGAGATGGAAACAGGTTGGTGCAGAGACTACTAGAGATTCTCTGGCCTATAGGAAAGACACTGGACTTTGGAACTGAACGAAAGAGTCAGTGTTAGTGACTACTTTTGAGTTAGGCTCCACACTAAGCCTACTTAAGATTCTCTCTCTCTCCCCCTCTCCCTCTGCCACTCTCTGCCACCCCACTCACACGCACGTGCACTCTCTCTCCCTCAAAAAAAAAAAAAAAAAAGATTGGAAATGAGGAAACATAAAAGAGATGCATGGGCAGCTCTGGTGGCTCAGCAGTTTAGCGCCGCCTTCAGCCCAGGGCCTGATCCTGGAGACCTGGGATCAAGTCCCATGTTGGGCTCCCTGCATAGAGCCTGCTTCTCCCCTGCCTGTGTCTCTGCCTCACTCTCTCTCTCTGTGTGTCTCTCATTAATAAATAAATAAAATCTTAAAAAAAAGATGCACAAATACAAGGATTAGCTAGATGATAAATGTACATCCTACAAATAAGTAATTGCATGAAATATAAATGGGTTCAAAATCATTGAAAATACTATTAGACTGGGTGTTTATAAGAGCTAAATATATACTGTTTTTTAAAGATAAACACTTTTTAAAAATAAAGGGAAACACTTTAGATACATGCATAGATGAGTTGAAAGCAAAAAAAAATACAAAGATATAACATGCAGGGATACTTGGGTGGCTCAGAGGTTTGAGCGTCTGCCTTCAGCTCAGGGTGTGATCAGGGGTCCAGGGATCAAGGCCCACATCAGGCTCCCTGCATGGAGCCTGCTTCTCCCTCTGCCCAAGTCTCTGCCTCTCTTTCTCTCTATGTCTCTCATGAATAAATAAAGTCTTTAAAAAAAAAAAAGATATAACATGCAAACACCAGCAACAGAAAAGGTGATATGGCCTATATTAGTATCACATAAAGTAGATTCTAAAGCAAGAAATGGCATTAGATATGAAGAGGAATGTTGTGCCCAAGATCGCGAATCCCAGAAACCGCCAAGGAGCCGACACCCATGCAATCACACAAGGGTTTATTTACAAGCTCGAGCCTGGGACCAAGTATATCCGACGCAGTGGAGCAAGGACTTGGACCCCGAAACTAAGAGGCTTAGCAACTTTATAGGGGCCAGTGGCCAATGGGATCGCAGAAAGTTGCACAGACATGCTGGTCCACTGAGCCGAATTTCCGGTTAGGGTGTGCCCTGGTCATTGACTAGGGCAGGGCAGTATCCCTGAGCCGGATTTCGGATTAGGGTGTGTCCTGGTCTTTGATTAGGGCGGGGCAGTGCCCTAGGTAATAAGCAGGTCAGCGCAAGGCGGGTGCAGCCCAAAATAGAGTCAGTCCTGCTCTGCTTGTCCAGGGGTAGGGGATTTTGTTCAATTTCCTGGGCCCACAGGAATACTTCCTAATGATAAAATAGTCAATGCAAGGGAAATACATAATAATCCTAACTTTGTATGCATCTACTAACAGATACAAAAAAATCCATAAAACAATTGTTGACACTATTAGATTTAAATAAACCTATAATCACATTTTACCTTTTAACAGATCTTTCTCAGTGACTGCATTCCACATGAAAAAAAAAATACAAGTCAAAACAAAGAAAGGAAAGAAAGACTTTCACTCTTCCAAGCAATCAAACCCAGGAACCATAAAAGATGCCATTTCACTCTTTATTTTACAAAAAGGTTTTAATGCTAACATGTAATGTTGATTAGAATCTGGGAAAACTTCATATGCATAATCAGTTTTTAGAATGATAAATCAATATTCTTTACTAAATGGCAACTAGGTTATGAAGCTAATCTGCCTCCCCCCCCCCCCGCCCCGGCCCCCCGCCACACTTATAGCCTTCCATCTGGAAGTTTAAATCTCAGTAGTTTGTCCGGTCCGAGGCGCTCGGGGAGCCGCGGGCTTTGGTGCAGACATGGCCAAGTCCAAGAACCACACCACGCACAACCAATCACGAAAATGGCACAGAAATGGCATCAAGAAACCCCGGTCACAAAGATACGAATCTCTTAAGGGGGTAGACCCCAAGTTCCTGAGGAACATGCGCTTTGCCAAGAAGCACAACAAGAAGGGCCTGAAGAAGATGCAGGCCAACAATGCCAAGGCCATGGCTGCGCGTGCTGAGGCTATCAAGGCTCTTGTCAAGCCCAAGGAGGTTAAGCCCAAGATCCCAAAGGGCGGCAGCCGCAAGCTCAATCGACTTGCCTACATCGCTCACCCCAAGCTCGGGAAACGTGCTCGTGCCCGCATTGCCAAAGGTCTCAGGCTCTGCCGGCCAAAGGCCAAGGCCAAGGCTCAAACCAAGGCCCAGGCTGCAGCTGCGACCCCGGCTCCGGCTCCGGCTCCAGCTCCAGCTCCTGCTCCTGCTTCTACTCCTGCAGCGCAGGCTCCCAAAGGTGCCCAGGCCCCCACAAAGGCTCCAGTGTAGAGGCTTCTGCCTGCCAGTGTGAGGACGGAAGGACTGGTATGACCCCTGGGCTTCTGTCTGCATGGGCCTGGTGTCCTCCTGTGCTATTTGTACAAATAAACCTGCGGCAGGATCAAAAAAAATAAATAAATAAAAATAAAAAAAAAATAAATCTCAGTAGTTTAATGAGGAATAATTAATGTTATCCAAAAGATTTACAGGTTGTTAATTTTAATTATGTTTATATCAGCAAGTGAGTTGGGAGCAATATAAATGTGCAGAAGTAGGACTGGTTAGTTACAAGTTCTTACTTCCCTAGAGGGGAAACCTATGCATCAATTTAAATCACATTATGGAGCTTAAAAATAAAATATCAATTTTCTAAAAAGATGTGATTATATATGTGTATGTGTGTGTGTGTGTGTATATACACAAATACAAATATAAAGAAAAGAGCCTCAACATTTTTTTTAAAGTTTAAAAATAAATCACACTGTGGAAGCAATTTACAACCATGTTGTGAGAAAGTACTCATTGGCATGGAACTCTTTAAAATGTATTAGTTTGTGGGACACTTGGGTGGCTCAGCAGTTGGGCGCCTGCCTTCAGCTTGGGCCGTGATCCTGGGATCTGGGATCGAGTCCCACACTGGGCTCCCTGTAGGAGGCCTGCTTCTCCCTCTGCCTATGTCTCTGCCTCTCTCTCTCAGTCTGTGTCTCTCATGAATAAATAACACATCTTTAAAAAAATAAAATAAAATGTATTGGTTTGTGACAAAAGAAGATAACAGTATAGGAGCTATATACATATATATGTATATACATATATTATATACATATATCAGAAATTTTTCTTATATATCACCCCAAACATTCCTAAAGGAGATGAGCTTTACATTAATAAAAAGAAAGGATAAGAACCATATGATCATCTCAAAAGATGCAGAAAAAGCATTTGACAAAATATAGCATCCTTTCTTGATAAAAACATTCAATAAAGTAGGGATAGATGGAACATGCCTCAACATCATAAAGGCCATATATGGAAGGCCCACAGGTAATATCCTCCACAATGGGGAAAAATTGAGAGCATTTCCCCTATGGTCAGGAACAAGACAGGGATATCCCCTTACTAGTTAACATGGTACTGGAAGTCCTAGCCTCAGCAATCAGACCACATAATGAAATAGAAAAGCATCCAAATTGGCAAGGAAGAAGTCAAAGTTTCACTATTTGCAAAAGACATGATACTCTATGTAGAAATAAAAAAAAAACTCAAGCAAAAAATTGTTAGAACTAATGCATGAATTCAGCAAAGTCACAGGATAAAAAATCAATGTGCAGAAATCTGTTGTATTTCTATACAACAATGAGGCAGCAGAAAAAGAAATCAAGGAATCAATCCCATTTGCAATTGCACCAAAAGCAATAAGATACCTAGGAATAAGTCAACTAAAGAGGTAAAAGATCCGGAAGGATTGGAAGAAGAAATATTGTTAAATTGTCTGTACTACCCAAGGCAATCTAATGCAATCTCTACCACTAGCATTTTTCACAGAGCTAGAACAATCCTAAAATTTGTAGGGAACCACAAAAGACCCTGACTGGCCAAAGCCATTCTGAAGAAGAAAAACAAAACTGGTGGCATCACTTCAAGCTGTATTACAAAGCTATAACCATCAGGACAGTATGGTACTGGCAAAAACAGGTACATAGATCAACAGAACAGAATAGAGAACCTAGAAATGGACCCATAAGTATCTGGTCAACTAATCTTTGACAAAGCAGGAAAGAATATCCAATGGAAAGAAGACAGTCTCTTCAATAAATGGTGTTGGGAAAAGTGGGCAGCCACATGCAGAAGAATGAACCTGGACCACTTTCTTATACCATACACAAAAATAAATTCAAAATGGATGAAAGACCTAAATGTAAGACAGAAGACTACCAAAATCTTAGAGGAGAACACAGGCGGCAACCTCTTTGACCTCCCGTTGTATAAATTTTTATTAGACATGTCACCAGAGGCAAAGGAAACAAAAGCAAAAATGAACTCTTGGGACTTGATCAAGATAAAAAGCTTTGCACAGTGAAGGAAATAGTCAACAAAACTAAAAGACAGCTTACAGAATGGGAGAAAATATTTGAAATGACATATATGATAAAGGGTTAGTATCCAAAATCTATAAAGAACTTGTCGGGATCCCTGGGTGGCGCAGCGGTTTGGCGCCTGCCTTTGGCCCGGGGCACGATCCTGGAGACCCGGGATCGAATCCCACGTCGGGCTCCTGGTGCATGGAGCCTGCTTCTCCCTCTGCCTGTGTCTCTGCCTCTCTCTCTG